AAAAGTAACTCAGATATTCTCTTGTAAATTAAAAAGTAATGCGTTACTTTACTAGTTATCTGAAAAAAGTAATCTGATTACGTAACTTGCGTTACTTGTAATATATTACCCCCAACACTGATAAATATATATATAAAACGAATAAATAGCCTATACGAGAAATATATTTTTACTTAAATAATAAATTAAGAAAACGAAAGAAAAACAGCAACAAATAGCCTAGTTTGCAATGTTTCGGTTAATTTTTGTGCTGCGCAAAAGGAAACCAGACGGCAGAAAGCCGGATCCTATTTTTCATTTCGTTCATTTTACAAAAGCACAAAGATTTGTTTTTATTGTGAATGTACACAAATAAAAGCAAACCTTAGGAGTAGTTGCTTCCACTGATAGAAGGAAAAAATTCAAGTGATTGCGCCGGCTCTGCAAGCGCACACACAGTTACGTTTTGCTACCTCGACAATGCAGCCTGTTCATTATCATAATAAAATAGTCAGTCAAACATATGGGAAAAAAAAAAACACACTGCTCAGTTTAAATATGTAGTTAGTAAAATCTGTGCCGTTAAGCGTTATCACCGTATTGCCGTGATGTTATGCAAAACATTTAGTTTTATGTGGATATTGGAACACCAGTTGAAGTAGGCTACATAATAAATAATATTTTGGCATTCAAATACATCGCGAATACGGAAACATTTGATTTTGTGTCGATTGAGAGACCCAACGGTGGTTTCAGTTCCGTTTTAGCCTAAATTAATTTGTTTTGTCTTGTCGTTTATATAGCTATAGCTTCTTATATTTTTAATTCTTGTTCTTTTCTAAATACTGTTGATTGAAAGGATTTGTTGTGGAGTGAGGGGAACTAAAATAGCCTAGCTATGTTTACAGTGTTTATTATAATTCTTGTAAACATTTCGCGTCGTCATTAGGCCTATTTCTGAATGAAAATTTTTTTCTAAAAAAAACAACAAAAAATTTATATATGCATAGCGTATTTTAACCATGCAGCAAACCTATATATTTTGACAAATTACTGAAAAAAAATAAAGTAAATGACTTTTAAACCGTTTAACTGATTGTATTAATCGGTCAAAAATTCTTACGGTCGGTTAACCGGTTAAAATGAACATCCCTAGTATAAACCAATTTTTTGGCCATCCTAAGAGCTGTGGAAGAATACATTTACAATAAAATCTTTCATGTGACCTGTAATATAAGATAATGGTTTCCCTTTTACTCGACAGGTGAAACAATAATTATTGTCCAGCCTATACCTAGTCCTGGTCCAGAAATCTGCAGTGAATCTATATTGGATACAAAATGACTTGTAAGGGTCTGAATGTTCATCGACAGCATGAGTCACTCCATTGTGATTGTCTACCTACACAACCCTGTGCTTGTCTGTGATTCACCACATTGTCTTTCACTAACATTTGGATTACTGTGCAGCATTTGCTCTAATGAAGACTGTTAGTCATTGGATATGGTTTTCAGACTTTTATTAAGACCCAGCCTCTTGGCAACCTCACTAAGGCTTATTAAACGGTGCTAGTATCTTCTCAGCTCATTAAGTATCAAATGTTTTCCTTATTAAGGAACTTCATGCACTGAAAGACTATGCAACGACCTGAAACCCAAAGCCAGTGACCTGCGTTACAGATCTTGAGTTATGTTTGCTTTACTAGGCCCATGCATGAACCTAATGCTTTGCATGTGCGTGCTGTGGATGTCCTTGTTTTGCATGTTGTCAGGCCAAGCCTTTTTCTGCCAAGTACTTTGAACCTCCTGTAGGTTTTGGAGTTTGTTAACCAGGAGGTGGAAGGACACCATCTGACCCTGTAGTTTATGATTGAGCCAAACCACACAGTTGAGAAGTTAATAACTTCATAAAATATAATATATCAACAATAATAATAGAATAATTGTTAGTATTTATTATTAAAAATATATTTATAAAAAATTACATTAGAAGTATAAATGTAAAAAAAATTATTCAGGAAGGATGCATTTATGTAAAGACGTTTACATTCTTGCAAAAATGTATATTTAAAAATGTGATCATAAGAAATCCTCTTGAACATCAGAGCAGCATATTAGAATAATTTCTGAAGGATCATGCAGCACTGAAAGGGGCTGTTTCATAAAACAAGTTTACCAAACAAGCCAGGCTTAGTCAGTTAGTCTGACTTATTTTGAACCAAATCAACTGACAGTAAGTCAGACTAACAAAAATAAACCTGTCTTATTTGGTTAACTTGTTTTATGAAACAGGCCCCTGGAGTAATGGCTAATATTTTAAATTGTAGTATATATATGAAATAATAAAAAAACAAATACATGTATAATATTGTGTTATGAAATATTTAGTATTAGCCTTACAATGCAGTTTTAAGTAGATCTTTATTTAGATTAGAATTTAGTCCAACAAAAGAACAAACTACCAAGCTACACAAGGTAAAAACATTGTTACTTTTGTTTTATTTATTATTCTTCACAAAAACTAATAATAATAATTTGTATTATTATTATTATTATCCAGCATTAAAACCACTATGTTAGAGGATGTTAGCAGGCCAGTGAGGATGAGTCAGCAGGAAATGGGATTTCTGTTTAGAAGGTTGCGTCAGCATGAAGCAAATCTGTCAAAGCAGCTGCATCTCATCGATAGAAATGCAATCAACACAGGCTGTCTCATACAGAGGCACCGCTGGCCTGTCACACAGCCATCTGTTCAGCAAAGTCAACTTCATCTCACCTCACACCTCTATTTCACCATCCCATTACTGTTTCGTTTTTTTTGTCCTTTTCCTCTTTTTTTGCATAGCTAGGATATAAAGAATAAATTCATTAAGAAATCCTCTGTTTTCATTCTTTGCTGCACTTGGATGCTGTCCGTTAGTGCGGCGGTGATTCAGAAGAGCTGCATCAGGGAAGGGAGGTACGTTTCTTAGAGCAGAGCTGTGACCAGCTTTGGCTATATTCCAAGGAAACAACATCTGATGTGCTTCACTGTAGAGAACAGCATAGACCTAGTGTTCATATTTCCTGCTAGGAAATCCCACATATCCCTCAGACCATCAAAACCTACTGGCAGTGCATCTCCAGTAAAGCTGCATGTTCTATACTTCTGGCTGTCTAATCCTCAAAAGTGATAGCTTCATGCAAATGAAAGGCAAATAGAGTCTGCATTTGTCTGCATGAATGCATGCTGCACACAATTTACTTCAAATTTATAGTACTGGTAGACCGATATGTTAGCTGATATTTGGCCATTTTGAGATGATCGTCCACTTGGATGTTAAACAGAAGTGGTAATTCTCTCTTATGTTTTTAAAAATTACCAACAATCATGCCAATGGATAATACAAATAATTTTTTCTTTTCATAATATATATATATATATATATATGTGTACTATAATTATATTTATTATAATTAAATAATGTGATCATATCTGTATTTTATCGGCTACTCTGATCTTGACATTGTCCAAAACTCATATTGGTCTATCATTGCTTTGTAGTTTTGCTAAAGCGATTAAAGTCATGATATTTAGATCCTAATTCTGTCCTTTTATTATTTTATTATTTATTTTTCTATCCTTTTTTATTATTTTTTTGTAGGCTCAAATGTCCCCATTTTGATCCAGCCCAGTTCCACTGTCAACACCTCAGAGTCCACGCATTTCGCAGCCAGCCAGTCTTAAGTACAACACCCAGAAATGAGCCACCTGCCTGGTCCTAGTCCCGGTCATTACTGAGGGGGTCCTGCTGATGGACTCTAAGGCCCCTGATGTAGTGTGCTGACGGCAGGGCATCACGGCACCAGGACTAAACTGTGCCACTGCGCCATACCCGGACTCTGACCCACTGGAATCGAGTGGCAGTTTGCCAAAAGACAAAGAAGCCTCTGCCAATCTCATCTGTGTCTCCATTGGTGTGTATGTCTGTCTGTTCGTATATAACTACACGTTAATTTCAAAATAATATAGATATGAGACTGGTGCCACTGGGCAGTGCTCAAGGTGGGAAGTGGGTTTTACTGTTGGGGTGTTTCTTTTTGGTTCTGGCTATTTATTTATTTTTTAACTTTTTTTTTTTTGTGTGTTCAAAGCATGGACGTGAGTGGAATGATCATATGAGTGCATGCAAAGCAATAACAGCATGCCACTACTATACAGCATAGGAACGTGCAAGAACCCCTCCCACTTATCTTCATCCAAATGTGGAGCCACAACATGGCACTTTTTTTTTTATTTTTAGTTTGCTTCTTTAGATGGCAGTGTTTTCCGTTCTCAAGTTTGCAGTCATCTGTTACATTTGCATTATATTGCATTTCGTTTAAGATCAAATCGGTCAATCGTACGCAAATGGCATGACATGTCTGCGTAACCACTTTTTCTGACTAAAGCGAAGGCAGACGCCTCAAACGTCAGCTGACGTGCCGTGTGCAATGGTCATACATTCCCCTAAAATCAGAACACTTGAATATGCTGGTGAAAGTTGTTTTTCGTCATCCAAATGTGGAGCCACAACATGGCACTTTTTTTTTATTTTTAGTTTGCTTCTTTAGATGGCAGTGTTTTCCGTTCTCAAGTTTGCAGTCATCTGTTACATTTGCATTATATTGCATTTCGTTTAAGATCAAATCGGTCAATCGTACGCAAATGGCATGACATGTCTGCATAACCACTTTTTCTGACTAAAGCGAAGGCAGACGCCTCAAACGTCAGCTGACGTGCCGTGTGCAATGGTCATACATTCCCCTAAAATCAGAACACTTGAATATGCTGGTGAAAGTTGTTTTTCTATGCACTTTTTTTCCACTACCTTCATTGGAGGCTTCTAATGCAAATCTAATGGCTTCAGCCCTTACAACTACTTCACTACTGCGAAAGTGAAAATATCTTTAAATGTGAAGTTTTAATTTGTTCAAAGGGGCTGAAATGGGATCAACCCTATTTTTGGTGAACGCTATGCCAAATCGAGCAAACCTATGCTTTCTTTGTGCGCTTAGGACATATGATGACAAAACGCAAATATTTTTAATGATCTTATTTATTTTTAATATATCAGAATTGAGATGAATGTGTATGTCATGTTCTGAGTGAAACGATGCACTGTGTTAACTTGATTTCAGAATTTGGATCTGCAAGAGCCTCATGATTTTAGCAATAAGGAAATGCCCGTTGTGTTAAATGTGAAGGACTCAAATAGTCAATAGTCAGGTTACTGTTAGAAACACTATATTAGAGTCAGTACATTAGATGCCAAATGTTTTCCCTGTAAATTGTTGTTCCAATTGCAATAGTATATACATGGATTGTACACCATTTTGTTTCTGTGTGCAAATAGAAATGTATGTAATAATTTCAAGTAGTATATGGTCCACTGTCTTTTCTGGTTGTTATTTTGGGGGGCATTTTCTTATAGCCAATAAGTTTTCTTTTATTCCGTAAAAACTGGATGGTAATTTCAGAGAATAAACTTGCCAAAAGAAAAAGAGATAAAGCCAGAAATTCATTAGAAAGCATTGGGATATGATCTGCTTCCAAACCAACTGTTACTTTATTTCAGAATTATAATTTTTTGGTCATTGGTACATTTCCATGCTCACTGGATCGCTTAATTTAATTGCACAAGGCCCATTTCTGCAATCAACAATTTACTTTTTGGCACTTGTTTGGGGTGCAAATGATAACTATGATTTTAAAGCATTTCAGAGGTTTTGGCCTCTTCACCAGTGCACATATTAAGTTTTATGATGCTGTGTGTAATAACCTGTTTGATGAGGGGGAAAAGCCAAGTCTGGTCTGAATTTACCAACAGCCAAAAAGGAGCTAATAACCACAGTACTACATTGCTACTTTCCTCCTGTTTTTATTCAACATGGTTCGTAATGCATCACATATTTCATTGTCTGTTTATATTATTGAATCGGAATTAATTAAATAAATGGGGATTTGTAAAAATTTGCATTTGAGTGATTCTTATCTGCTATTGCATGAAGTTTACATTCGTAAATTTACTACCATGTCGACATTACATTCAGGTTTTCATTTTTTGATTAGTACTCTTGGTCTATGTTCGGAAATGAATTGGTAGCTCAGGCCTGCTATCGTTAACATCACACTGCAGCTTCGTGTGCTATAGTTGTACCCATAAGCTTGTAATCAGCTTAGCGTACAACTCCATACACTCATTAACAGCCCTGTCAAAATACTTAATAGGAAGTGCACAGTCAGATTTATTCATGGTGATGGTCATGTGGAAAGGTTTGATTTCAATGTGTGATGACACAACAGCTGCTGCCCAAATTCAAAACTTTGCAGAGAATGGGTCAAATTATTTGGCAAATTTTCTGGACATTTGGGGAAGGTCTGCTTGGGTTAAGCAATAAAATATAAGAGTCTGCATGCAACCCCATTGTCAAAGGCTGCATTCATAATATAGCATGACCTAGAGTGCTTTTTTATTTTCTATAAGCTACAATAACAATATTAGGGATAGATCACCCAAAAATAAAAAGTATTATTTACTCAACTTTGTAATTTCAAACCTTTATGCACTTCTTTTATCTGTGGAATATGAAAGAAGAATGTTTGTAACCTAAAAGGTTTGGTTACCATTGATTTCCATTGTATAAAATGGAAATACAATCTATTCCATTGTATGGGATATTAGAGAAGTAATTAAGTGAAAGTGGGCAGTGGACAGTAATGATCATTGGAAATGAAGCTTTTCTAAGAATTAAGTCCAACTGATCTGACATTACACATTTAATGTCACACGTATAAAAAGTCTTAAATTGATTTTAAAAGTTTGTATGATTCACAATGCATTGCATTACTGCCAACAGTATTTTTGGAGTTTCATTTAGTACAGCAGTCAGGAACCCGTGGCTCATGAGCCACACCAGGCTGGAAACATGTCCTTTTATTGAAACTATGCTGTGCCAAAAGACATTTCGAAACATTTCACTGTGTACTTTCGCTGCACTTTTTGCTGCACAGAACTGAATGTGCTATAAATGAGTCTTATTTATGTATGATAATCGGCATTGCTTTCAGTGGGCGGGACTGTTATTAATAAAGAAACCTGACTGAATGAGAAAGTAAAAATGTGCTTGATATTAAAAAAGAAAAATAAATATTAAAAACACAATTAGCCACAAAAGAGAACTGAAACTGACTAGATGCATTCTGTGCACGTTTTGTCTGCTGTAACAGTGATGTCACGAGGACACGTGTTGTAAAGATTCGCGTCTTCAGTCTCAAATATCAGTTGAATTCTGTCTCAAGCTCAGTGTGTCTGTAACTGCAGGACGGAAAGATAAGTTCAATACCGACGGTCGAGTGAAGTGTCCTTCATTTGGCTAGTCTGTGCTTAGGACTTTGTGGGTTGCATACACTAAATGCAATTCCTGCGAAGGACTTGATTACCCCTCCACAACATAGAATTGGGTGGGGGAGGAGTATTTTGTTTTTTATGATCAAACAAACAGACATTCACCAAAATAATAACCCATATTATAACTGAAATAGACCACGTTCTACATTAAAACATCACCAAAACAAGATTGTTCAGCCTAGAAAACGTAATTAATTAATTAACCACACAAAAACATATTTGCATAATGCCTACACACTTTCTAAATCAAGTCTTGTTTTACAGGGGTGCTTAAATGAAAGTTAGAGCACCCTCAGTTGAAGCTGTAATAACAGCTCTCTAGTGTTGTTCGCGCTCTTGTGGAGTGTCAGAGGTTTCTTGGACAATCTGTTTATTGAGATGCAACAATATATAACAAAGTAATACACCAATATTGTAGGTACATCTTTTTTTATATATATGAAAAACAATAACAAGAGAAAGAAAAAAGTGTCAAAGGTTTCTATTTACGTAATCACAGACAGTGTTGATTTCTTGTTGGTAATGGCCAATCAGAGGCATTTAAAGGGGTCATATGATGCGATTTCAATTTTTCGTTTCTCTTTGGAGTAATGACATAAATAGTGTGGTTAAACACTGCCTTTGCAGAAGATGATCAACACTTGCTTCTACGTCTCTGCCTGTTTAGCCCTGCCCACCGCTCACGCACGTAGTAGGTAAATGACAAATTCTACACACAAACCAAACAATAAACTTTATTTGATGAACTTTATTTTTAATCAAGTGCCAGACCCTGTCAGTAAGAACCTAATCCTTTGTTCACTTCATTTTACTGCAGATTTGTTTACAAGCAAGACTTTTTCAGAAAAGATTTTCAGAAAGACTGAAACTAAAAGATGATGCTGTGCCGACTATACTGGATCCGACAGTAATGTCGCACCACACAAGTGTGAGTAACTGTTTTCATTACTTGATCACTATTGCTTTGTCTGTTATTACAGATCGTTTGATATGTATTAATGTGTTTTAACCTAAAACACAGCAGCGTCCATCTAGGAAGGATGTAGGCTGTCAAACATACACAACTATTAGCCAATCATAACAGTGGACGCTGACTTCCGAGTCTTTTTTTTTTTAATGCTTTATTTATTCAATGCCACAAGAACATGAGTGATTAACATTAATCAAATTAACATTATTAGCTGCCAGAGGGGAAAAAAAGGGAAGAAAATTACATAGTTCAATGCTTTCAGAGCATTACATGTTTTCAATGCTTTTTTGTTTTTTGATTGTTCCAAGAGATTTACATATAATTTAAAGTCATTTATAAAATGTGCAAAATTTGGTTTACATTGAGCCCACTTCTTCTTATGTATATGGAATTTTCCTAACAAAATAAATGTATATGTAAAATTCTAATTTTCGTTTTCTGGATAAAAAAAGTACATCAAATGTACAAATTTCTATCATACACTCTATTTTTCTGTTAATATAGAATTCCAAATCCATCCAAAATAATCTCGAGTAAATACAATGAAAAAAAAGATGCAAAATAGTTTCTTTTTCTTGACCACAAAATTCACAGGTATGCGAAATATTAAGCTTAAATCTTTCCAAAACATGCTTAGCAGGATAAATTCGATGAAGTATTTTGTAAGACACTTCCTTAATTTTGTTAAATAAAGAAGACCAAAAAAATCTTGCTGCAGGTAGGGACACAGAACAAAGAGCATTCCTTATAATCTTATTGCTACACTGTTGTTTGAAGACTTCCGAGTCTACAATCTGCCAAGCTTATTCAAATGGAGCTTTCCAAAAAAAGGGGGACAGAAAATT